TCCATCCTATATCCGCGCAGATATCCATTGAGCGGGTATCCATGAATTTCTTGAATACCCACGGATATCCATGGATATTTATGAATTTTTTAAGAAATTAAAAAAATTATATTACAAATGATTTTAAGTCTATATTTAATGTCATTGAAATATTAAAAATAAAAATTCAATGTTAACTTTAAACTTGTATTTAACGTTAATTTTGTTGAAATAATAATAAAAATGTAAGATAATCAATGACTTAAAATACATCAATCTCACAAGTAAGTTAAAGTCCCATCACAAAGTTACAATAATTCAATCTCATAATTCCAAACGAAAGTAAACAACTTAAAATACATAAATTTTACTGGTCCAATCAAAGCTAGAAAATTAATCAAATTATATCCAACATAATTCTACAATATGCTTAACACATGTTGGTAACTTCATCAACCTCACTTTTGTAAGAAAATAAGATGAGAGAGTGTACTTTTAGGGTTATGTGGTACAAGAATAATTAGGATATTTAAGAAATATTATTAAACGGGTACCCGCGGGTATGGATATCATCATACCCGCCCCCGCCCCATTTATAAACGGGTAAAAAATTATCCGTCCCCATTATCCGCGGGTACCCAATTAGCCTATCCATTTATCATCCGTAGTGGATTTTACCCGCAGATGCCCGCGGGTGCGGGTATTTTTCTATAATTTCGTTCTCTCTCCCAGAGCATCATTTTTACAAATAAATAATATATTCGTAGTCCTAAATATATACAGAATCACATAAGACCAATAATTCTCCAAACAGAAATAATTATAAAATTACTCATAATCCTAAGGGACTCTTCCTCTACCCAATTCTCTCATGTAACTCTACATATAAATAATTCCCTTTTCCCCCGTACCTGGATAAATAGTAGCTGAAACTAAGGATCTGGTTGATCTCCTCCGCTGGGTTCCTCTCGGTCTTCAGAGAGTGCAGAAGAAGAGAAGAGAGAAAAGAAGAAAGGAAATCAGAAAATGAGAGGTGTGCCTTTTAGGAGTGGCAGAGAGCGCAATTTATAGGCATCAGGCTTCGTCGGAACGGCCCGTTCCAAATCCAGAACGGCCCGTTCTGGACCCTTAAATCATGGGTAAAAATCACATCCAAAACGGCCCGTTCTCAAACCAAAACGGCCCGTTCTGGGGTGCATTTAATACTCACAACGGTCATATTTCAGAATGGCCCGTTCTCACCTCTGGAACGGCCCGTTCTCAACTTAGAATCGTAGGCAAATTTAATGGTTTGGAACGGCCCGTTGCGGGCTACCAAAAGTGTGTCTATTTAGTAATTTGGAACGACCCGTTCTAATTTTGGAACGGCCCGTTCCGGGCTACTAAACCACCTTAATTGGGCTATTGGGCCAGTGAAAATTGGGTTGTTACATACTATACACAACATTTGATAATATGTTGCTAAAACAAATTAATAACATTTATACATAATTAAGTAACATTTTTTAAATGTTGCTAAAAACTATTTGTATTGTAGTGAATAGTAGATTTGTCAACTTCACAAGCAAATGTCAATAAATCAAACTTGAGTAATCTAAATATTATAAATTTTCTTAGTGATTGTGACTCATTTATGAATAATACAATTGAAACACAAACAACATCTGAAATAAAGTTGTATTTGGAAGAAAAAGTTTTTCCTATGAGTAGTTGTTTAGACATTCTGGATGGTAGAAAACAAATAAGATCAAGTATCCAATTTTGCAAAATATTGTTAAAGATGTTTTGATAATCTCAATTTCAACCGTAACTTCAGAATCTGCATTTAGAACATAAGGTAGATTTTTGAATTCTTATCATTATAGGTTCCATGAATTTACATTGGAGGCACTTATGTGTGTGTAAAGTTGGATGAAACACAAGCAACAAGATAATAAATAATTAAATTTTATTTATTTAATAAAAGTTATTATATTTTTTTATTGTTTATTTCAATTTTTAATTTAAATTATCTAATCATTCATTTTCTTATCATGTAGTTTCTATTAGTATTATTGGATCAAAATAATATATAAACATGGAAGACAAACGTTTGCAAAAATATGAAAAAGTTGATTCCGATGATGTAATTAAATGTCTACATATTTTTTTTTTTGTTGAAATTTATAGTATATAATTTAATCTATAATTTTAATCTAACTAATTTCTATATAAATTTTTCACAGGTCTTGGAGAATATTATTAACATATGATCATGATGTTGGAAGTTTAATTACAACTTTTATTATATTAATTTTTTTTAAGTTTATTTATAAGAATTGAATATTTTGTAATATTTATTTATAAGAATTGTTATGTTAGATATTTGTAATATTAAAAACTAAAAAATTAATATTATGTTTATTTGTGTTATCTCTTTATTAATGTATTTACTTTATACATAAGTAAAATATAGGTCATGAGTGCATATATGAGTACATATGTACCTAACAGATATAAATAAGAATTACTCATTAATTTCATTTTTTATATGAAATAAAAATATTTTTTAAAAACATTTTAATTTTACACATTCAATCACCGAATACGTGAATTAATATTTTTAAAATTAATATGAAATCGTTTCAACTTAACAATCAATTAATTTGAGTCTTAATAGTTAAGATTAGTAAAACATTATTGTGAGATTTTTTTAATTTAAAATTTAATATTTATGAGTTTTAGCCTTGAGTAACTGTCTGAGGGGTATCCATATTAAAAAAGAATATTTGTCACAATTTTTTTAAAAAAATTATACATTTAATAATAATTAATTATTGTATGACGAATATTATATGATACTAATTGACAATTAGGAGTAGGAATACGTTAGATTAGATTAAACTTTTAATAAAATTTGAGTTATTATTTATTATAATTTCTTTTATAGACTTGACCTAACTTTTTTAAAAAAATTGATCTGACCTATTAATTTATTTAAAAACTTATTTTACTGTTAAATATGTCAATAAATTTAATTTTAAATAAGTTAGTAATTATATTTTTAAATACATGTACATTTTTATAATTTTCATTGTAAAAAATACTTTATTCTATTATTATTAAAATTTAAAATAAAAACAAAAAGATAACTGAGGAACAACACATGTATGTCTATGTAAACTAACGTACACGCAATGAAAAAAAATAATCTTATTCAAAAAAGTTATAAATAATTCATACATTTTATTTGAAGTATTCTAAATAACCAATCAATGAAGGAAAAGAGTGGATGAAGATACAACTGCTGAAGTTTCTATTTTTGATTTCTTGATTTTGTATAAATAAAAAATGTAAAATGTTTAAATGTAGTGAGAATGTAAAAAAGAAATTTTGTATTACAAATTTATTTATTTAATTATATTATTAATAATATGACGTGTATTATTTTTTTTATTATATCATTAGATAAATAAACTAGAATATCATACTTAATATGTTTTTTTTATAAATTAAATCCAACCTACTTTTGTAAAAGGTTAATCCTGTCTTTTTATTAAATATATTTGCTAAAGTCAAATTTTAAACAGAAAATCATAAATTCTTATTTAAGATTTGATTTTTAGTCTCATCTTAGTCACTACACGTAATAACTTTCTAAATAAAAAATCTAAGGCTTAATTGTGTTTTTGATCCCTCAAATATTGTAATTGTGCAATTTTGATCCTCAAGGTTTTAATTGGGTAATTTTAGTCCTTAAAAGATTGTAATTGAGTGATTTTAGTCCTTAATTTTTAATTGAATAATTTTAGTCCCTCAATTATTATAATTGTGCAATTTTAGTCTTTTCTATTAAAAATTTAGTAATTTTAGAATTTATATATATAATATTTTAAAATTATACAATTGTTTGCTTATTTATTTTAATGTATATTATAATTTTTGTTAATATATCAAATGATATATATTAATTATTACTAAATAAATATAAATTTATATATTATTAGTATTTTAATATTATTGATAAATTAATATCAATAATATTTTTAGTATATTTATAGATAAACTAATAATTTGATAAACATGACTTAGTATATATTAATATATTTTAAAACATTGTGTGTGTGTATGTATATATATATATATATTAAAATTATTAAATTTTTAATGGGAGAGACTAAAATCGCACAATTATAATATTTGAGGGACTAAAATTGTTCAATTAAAAATTGAAGGACCCAAATTGCACAATTGCAATGCTTTAGGGACTAAAATTACCCAATGAAAATTTTAGGGATCAAAATTGCACAATTACAATACTTGAGAGATAAAAACACAATTAAGCCAAAATCTAATTTATTATTTTTTTCAAAAAATATCATTATTTTCAAAACAAATAAATTTAGGTGACAACTTTTACAATTACATTTTCTTGATTTCTAGCTGCCACAATAATCACATGATATACTAATAGATTTTACTCTTTTTTTTTCCATTATATATAGTGAAAAATGTGGGGACTGGTGAGAGGTGTTGACTACATAAACACACACAAAAAGACAGCGCCAACAGCAGCAGCTACCATCTAGTGGGCCCACACTGTATTTTGTCTGGGCCACACTTCATTTCAGCACAAGTTTCACAAACTGCGGCATCCATTTCACTTCCAACAAAACCACCCTTGCTGCTCTTCACCAGTTTATCAATTTAATTTTTCTTTCCCT